CTTGTAAGGCCGTCTATCGGCCTGCTGGGCAATATTCTCTCTGCTCAACTGTAAATAAATGGTAACACGATTATCAGATTACCCTCCATTCATAGCAGCCAGTGACTGCTGGGCACAGTAAGTGAAATGATGAGAAAAATAACTTGAAGATAAACGTGTTGGAAAGCTCCACCTTAATGTTTTAACTGGCAAAGCCCAGGGGTAATTAGTCCTTGTTTCATTTTCAGTATGAAATGTACCTTTTATCCCACATTTCTGAAGATTACCTCAAAAGAAAGACTCAGAGATCTAAACACAAGTGGACGATCTCTCACTTGAAAACGTCTGTGAGTAACTCGGCATTCTCTACCTTAATAATCTCTTAAAATGCTTATCAAAATAATACAGAAGCATTTCTTCTTGTGCGTATTTGAAAGTTTAAACTCTTTTCGAAAGAAGCGCTTGTTTTTTTCAAAGCAAACATGGTGATTGGCATGCATTTGCTTCTGTTGGTCTCTCCAAATGCGGCGACAGCACCTGCGTGTTCCTTCTGCTTGTCTGTGAGTGTCTTGTCCATTTTTTTCCTCTCCGTCTGTTTAATCTGAGTCTGTCGCTCTGTTTTCTTGGTGTTTGTTTTTTTCTACATTGTTGGCATTGTCTTTGGCTTTCTCTACAGCCTGTCTTCTTTCTATTTGCTCTGTTCATTTTCTTTTTCAGCGTACTTGCTGCAAGTAGGAAAATCTTCTCAGTTAAAACCTAAAGTTGTGTTTGAATTGTTTGCTTATGTGCTCAACACCCTTTTTTTTATGAATGTCTAAAACTTCACCTCCAATTTTTTTTCTGGTGAACTGTAGTTGATGTTTGGCACATTGTTTACTGAAAGTCAATACCACAGATTAAATATGTTTACATGTTCTAGCTGTACTTTTGTCTCATGGATGTCAATTTTTTTTAGATTATTTTTCAACAGGGTTTTAAAACTAAATTTTTAATATGTTAAGCAATAGCAATGATCATTTTTCATCTGAACTTAATGGTCTGAAGCCCTAAACGAACTGCAATTAATAGTATTGGTTTTGATCATTATGTCAATTATGCTTAAAAAGTAATTAATTAACACAGACTTTTAAAAGTTAATCAACATTAGTTGTCACCACAGTAATTATGGCATATTGATGCTGATTTTTCATTAAACATTTATTTTTCTTCATTTTCAAATGGCTCTGAGTTTTGTATCATTCATCAAACTGACAACGGCACAGGTTTGATTCTTAGCTCTTATTTACTGCAAGTTCCTTCTCTCAGGGCAAGGCCAGCTAAAACGTCAAATAAAATTGTTACCTTCCTATTACTGGAGCAACGCTTGAGCCTTAAATATCGCTGTCTGTGCCCCTCATTTTCAACCCAGTGCAGAATTTGATGACATTTTGCTGTTTATTGGTGCTGCTTCATAAGCAGGAATAGGAAATATACCTTGAAAAGGTTCTGTTGCATCCAAAACAAGATTTCTTTTGCTCAGTATTATGCGTTTTCTAGGCACATAGTGCCATTTTACAGTATAATAGGTGCTGTTCCAGTAGAACGACTCTAACCGGCCCGATCCCGGTCCACCTCGGCCAGATTCATTTTTCATTAGCAGATCCATTGCGGCTCCCACTCCTAATTTAGGGATAGCACTGGCCGCACCAAGTCGAATTCTGTGTGGAAGCAATTTGATCGACAGCTGACTGACATTCATTGATTGGCTTATGATTATTTCACAGAAAACTCCACACAACATTCTTGTTTAGCTGTGGATCGCAGACATGCTGTCTGTCTGCTTTCAGGGAGCTGCTCAGTACGGAGGAGCGTAATTGTGATCAGTGGAAGGAACAGATGCGCTAAGGTTTGGACTGTGATGTAGCAGACCTGTAAGCAGCTCGTCTCTGAGAAACAGGCAGCAGTAAAGGAGAAAGAAACGATGCCGCTGTGGTCAGCATTCTGTCAGAGCTGCAGTTTTGCACTTACCAGCAGTGTGATACACCAAACTACATACTATTAGCTTGGTGTGATGTGAATTTAATTTTTCATTTGGATTTTTTGTTTTTGAATAAAGTTCAGGTGTGGCTATTGATTTACATATTTTGACTACATTATGTAAATCCAAAAAAGTTGCACATCATAACAACAGTGACAAAATGTAGTTATATTTACATGTGTAGCAAAATAATCCGCTGGTCTGAGTTTTTACAATTCTGTTTCGCCCAGCAATGGATTAATATGAGACAAAATTAAATATCTGGGTTTATCTGAGTCCATTAGAACCACAACCTTGAGGTTCTCCATTGCGGAAGTTGCTGCAAACATCAGCAGAGTTGACCACACCGCTGCATGCTCAACCACAATAGTTAGGAACAGATCCGTAATCAAGACTCTCACCACTGTGGTAGAACTAAACCGCACAGTAAGAGTGTGACTTTCCACAGTAAAAGTGCCTAAAGTTACCTTCAGTTGTTATAAAAATGCTGTATATATCAAATATGACTTAAAAGAAATTTTACTTCCTGATGTAACGCCTTGAAATTGGCCCTCTGTGACTTTAAGAACTCCTTGCAATGCACTGACAAGTAGGTCAGATGAGCTCAGCAGATGCGCAGTTTCACCAGGTGTTTGCTAATTGCTGCTGGCGAGTCTGAGAGCTGAGCAAGGGAGCAGTGAGGGAGGCCTGCTCTGCGAGGCCAAAGCCTGAAAACTGCAGCTCTGAGGAGGAGCTGTGCCTCGAAGGCGGTGCTTCGTCCACCCAGGCTTTTTGCACATTAAGCTGTGCAAAAAGCCTGGGCATTAAAGATTTCTAAAACATGCATGAAAGAATCCTCGCAGGTATGTTTTTGATGAGAGAATGACATCATAACATGATGTAAAGCTCCAAAAAGTCAATTTTACATAATACTGGAAAATCTGGAACCTGTTTCATGAATACATGGGCATTGTCAGTTCAATCCAAGAAAACCTGTTTGTGAAAATAGCCCATATGTTAACTGCGCTCCCAGAGATATTAACAATTTAGAAACACACGAAACAGTAGATGACATGCAGCGATGGAATTGACAACCAGCAGCTGAGTTTAATGGCCTTCACACAAAACACTGCGTGATGTCGGTGACAGATTGCAAATGCTAAAGATGCTTCATTTGATCCCTGTTCCTTAGCAATAAAAGTCAATACATTAACAGCGCGCTTCTGACTTTCCTCTATTGTTCTCTCTGCATTGGCCTTATCTTGTCTCACTCCACACTTTTTCCTCCTATCAGGCAAACATATGTGCACACAGGTGGTCTGGTCACTGCATCAATAAAATCAAAGACAAAACGAAATGTTAAAAACAGAGAATGGAAGAGTGAGGTTGGATGTTGTGTCACAGCAGAGGCTCAGATGTTGCCATGGAGCTACAGAAGAGCACTAATGTGGGTTTCGTTATTCAGTTCACTTTTAGCTTTCTGTTTTTCTTATTTCATTTGTGGTGTATTTTTATAACTAAGGCTTTGTGTTGTTTGTGTTCTTGTCTGTTTTATTCTTTTCCCACAAACTAACAAAAACTCAAGCAGTCTTAGAACATCAACAAAACAAAACTCATGTTTACATGATGTGTGTACAGTTTGCAGACATATTTATTTCTTTGCAATTTGAAATTGCTTTTCTTGGATTTACACAGCCATATGTAAATATTTATTGCCTGTGTTCATTGGCTTCTTTTTTTTATTGTCATATTTTAACGACAATAAAGAAAAAGAAGGAGGTAATAAAGTAGGCAGTTTTTATATTATTTTTTATTTAAGAAAGGGATGAGAGCTATATATTGAAATACACGCCCAATGTGAAACATTAATTGCTTCTGTTGTTAAATCATGAATTAACTGTGATTAACCAAATATTTAGAGGTTAACATCATTAGTCACCCTGGGCCACATTAACTCCAAACTTTTAAGCTCACTTAAATCAAATCTGTTTGGCAGATCTAAAAAAGAAATACATTATGCCTAGGTTAAAATACATTTCATGAAACTACCAAAATTACTCACAACAGTTTATCTACAAGTGACCCATGAGATTACAACAAACCCCACAGCTTTAAAAGCACTGCAGGCCTGAGCAAAGTTCAGTGTTCAGCTTCAACAGAAGGAAAGAGTTGAGCTGGTTTCTTCTGGTTTCTCCAGCTTCCTCACACAGTCCAAAAACTTAACTAATAGGTTAATTTGTTACTATAAAATGCCATAAGTGCTGAATGTGTGTGTGTGTGTGTGTGTGTGCATGGGTGTCTTTCCAGTCTATCTGCATGTTGTCCTGTGATGAGCTGGCAACCTGCCCAGAGTGTAAACCGTCAATGACCGTTAAAGATGGACACCATCCCCCTACGGCCCTGCAAATCTAAGCTGGCATAGACAATAAGTGAATGCATCTTTTTTCCAATGCAAAGACTTTTTATGATCTGAAACATTTAAATTAGACACAAAATATGTAAGGAGGAAAATACTTTTCAACAGCACCGCACATATAGAGGATAGCTGGGTGGTTCCTGTTTGACCGAGCCCATTTCAGCCTGCACACAAACACGAACCCCAGCAGTCTCTAGAGTGCGTTGGACAAAATCTAAAGTCAAGCATGAATACAGAGGATGACAGGCCAATTATCAGATGCACTCTCTGTTGTGCATCTTCTCCTCTAACAGGAAGCAGATGTGAGAATGCTGTCACTTTCACTAAAGTTGCTGCAGTGACAGGGACCCGACAACAAAAGGCGCAGCTTTCACGAGAAATTGAGATGGACAGAGTCATAAACTCAGTATTGTCACAGAGTTTTATCTTGTAGGTTGTCACTTTTTGAGCTTTGGAGGATCCAAAAGTGTAAAAGTGTGAGGATATTTTTCAGGAACTTTGACTTTTTAACTTTGGGGTTTAAATGTCTGACATTAATTTCACAACTTCTCCATTTTAACAGGAAAGGACTGAATGAGTCCTAACAAAGAGCTTGTGTTTGCTTTGCAGGTGAACGTAGTGCCAGCTTGTGTCAGAGCCTTGACCCAGATGCTCTACTGTCCGTACTGCCGCGGCATGCCTGGGCTGAAGCCCTGTCGCAATTACTGCTACAACGTTATGAGGGGCTGTCTCGCAAACCAGGCGGATCTGGACGCTGAATGGAACCTGTTCATCGGTAAGATTCAAATTAATTGCACTTCTGCCCGTTTCTTCCTTTTCCAGTTGTCTGTTTCTTTGTTAATTTAAGCTTTTATTTCAACGTGTGCATATTTATGTCCGCGTTCTGTAGTCAAGGAGTGAATCGGGAGGATGTGCTCTGTTCAATTTAGCTTTAGAGGATTTGCAGAGACAAAACTGAAATCTTATTTGTGCAAACATTTCCTTTTTCTTTTTTTTTTTCTGTCTGAAATGTTGTTTGCTATTGCTGGAACCCTGGCATGGTGTTTAAAGCTTTGGTCCCTGCTGCTCGGGATTGATAAAGGAGAGCAGATCCTAGGCAAACACATTTTCTATAGCATTTCCAGCTGAGCTTGGTGAGTAATATAGCACTTCACTTTAGCTGTAAGTAGCTGGCTGCAGTAAGCTCTCCCGTTAAATGGATACCAGGGATGCACATAGAGTGCTCCCTCTGGATCCTTTGTAGACCAGTGCTTTATTTGTTATGTACCCCAATCTCATCCTCCCACCCACACTGACGCTTTTTNCAGTTATCACGTCACTTGAGCATTAGATGAGTAAATTGCAGTCTAAATCTGTGGATCTGTGGCATCTCGCTTGTAAGGCCGTCTATCGGCCTGCTGGGCAATATTCTCTCTGCTCAACTGTAAATAAATGGTAACACGATTATCAGATTACCCTCCATTCATAGCAGCCAGTGACTGCTGGGCACAGTAAGTGAAATGATGAGAAAAATAACTTGAAGATAAACGTGTTGGAAAGCTCCACCTTAATGTTTTAACTGGCAAAGCCCAGGGGTAATTAGTCCTTGTTTCATTTTCAGTACGAAATGTACCTTTTATCCCACATTTCTGAAGATTACCTCAAAAGAAAGACTCAGAGATCTAAACACAAGTGGACGATCTCTCACTGGAAAACGTCTGTGAGTAAATCGGCATTCTCTACCTTAATAATCTCTTAAAATGCTTATCAAAATAATACAGAAGCATTTCTTCTTGTGCGTATTTGAAAGTTTAAACTCTTTTCGAAAGAAGCGCTTGTTTTTTTCAAAGCAAACATGGTGATTGGCATGCATTTGCTTCTGTTGGTCTCTCCAAATGCGGCGACAGCACCTGCGTGTTCCTTCTGCTTGTCTGTGAGTGTCTTGTCCATTTTTTTCCTCTCCGTCTGTTTAATCTGAGTCTGTCGCTCTGTTTTCTTGGTGTTTGTTTTTTTCTACATTGTTGGCATTGTCTTTGGCTTTCTCTACAGCCTGTCTTCTTTCTATTTGCTCTGTTCATTTTCTTTTTCAGCGTACTTGCTGCAAGTAGGAAAATCTTCTCAGTTAAAACCTAAAGTTGTGTTTGAATTGTTTGCTTATGTGCTCAACACCCTTTTTTTTATGAATGTCTAAAACTTCACCTCCAATTTTTTTTCTGGTGAACTGTAGTTGATGTTTGGCACATTGTTTACTGAAAGTCAATACCACAGATTAAATATGTTTACATGTTCTAGCTGTACTTTTGTCTCATGGATGTCAATTTTTTTTAGATTATTTTTCAACAGGGTTTTAAAACTAAATTTTTAATATGTTAAGCAATAGCAATGATCATTTTTCATCTGAACTTAATGGTCTGAAGCCCTAAACGAACTGCAATTAATAGTATTGGTTTTGATCATTATGTCAATTATGCTTAAAAAGTAATTAATTAACACAGACTTTTAAAAGTTAATCAACATTAGTTGTCACCACAGTAATTATGGCATATTGATGCTGATTTTTCATTAAACATTTATTTTTCTTCATTTTCAAATGGCTCTGAGTTTTGTATCATTCATCAAACTGACAACGGCACAGGTTTGATTCTTAGCTCTTATTTACTGCAAGTTCCTTCTCTCAGGGCAAGACCAGCTCAAACGTCAAATAAAATTGTTACCTTCCTATTACTGGAGCAACGCTTGAGCCTTAAATATCGCTGTCTGTGCCCCTCATTTTCAACCCAGTGCAGAATTTGATGACATTTTGCTGTTTATTGGTGCTGCTTCATAAGCAGGAATAGGAAATATACCTTGAAAAGGTTCTGTTGCATCCAAAACAAGATTTCTTTTGCTCAGTATTATGCGTTTTCTAGGCACATAGTGCCATTTTACAGTATAATAGGTGCTGTTCCAGTAGAACGACTCTAACCGGCCCGATCCCGGTCCACCTCGGCCAGATTCATTTTTCATTAGCAGATCCATTGCGGCTCCCACTCCTAATTTAGGGATAGCACTGGCCGCACCAAGTCGAATTCTGTGTGGAAGCAATTTGATCGACAGCTGACTGACATTCATTGATTGGCTTATGATTATTTCACAGAAAACTCCACACAACATTCTTGTTTAGCTGTGGATCGCAGACATGCTGTCTGTCTGCTTTCAGGGAGCTGCTCAGTACGGAGGAGCGTAATTGTGATCAGTGGAAGGAACAGATGCGCTAAGGTTTGGACTGTGATGTAGCAGACCTGTAAGCAGCTCGTCTCTGAGAAACAGGCAGCAGTAAAGGAGAAAGAAACGATGCCGCTGTGGTCAGCATTCTGTCAGAGCTGCAGTTTTGCACTTACCAGCAGTGTGATACACCAAACTACATACTATTAGCTTGGTGTGATGTGAATTTAATTTTTCATTTGGATTTTTTGTTTTTGAATAAAGTTCAGGTGTGGCTATTGATTTACATATTTTGACTACATTATGTAAATCCAAAAAAGTTGCACATCATAACAACAGTGACAAAATGTAGTTATATTTACATGTGTAGCAAAATAATCCGCTGGTCTGAGTTTTTACAATTCTGTTTCGCCCAGCAATGGATTAATATGAGACAAAATTAAATATCTGGGTTTATCTGAGTCCATTAGAACCACAACCTTGAGGTTCTCCATTGCGGAAGTTGCTGCAAACATCAGCAGAGTTGACCACACCGCTGCATGCTCAACCACAATAGTTAGGAACAGATCCGTAATCAAGACTCTCACCACTGTGGTAGAACTAAACCGCACAGTAAGAGTGTGACTTTCCACAGTAAAAGTGCCTAAAGTTACCTTCAGTTGTTATAAAAATGCTGTATATATCAAATATGACTTAAAAGAAATTTTACTTCCTGATGTAACGCCTTGAAATTGGCCCTCTGTGACTTTAAGAACTCCTTGCAATGCACTGACAAGTAGGTCAGATGAGCTCAGCAGATGCGCAGTTTCACCAGGTGTTTGCTAATTGCTGCTGGCGAGTCTGAGAGCTGAGCAAGGGAGCAGTGAGGGAGGCCTGCTCTGCGAGGCCAAAGCCTGAAAACTGCAGCTCTGAGGAGGAGCTGTGCCTCGAAGGCGGTGCTTCGTCCACCCAGGCTTTTTGCACATTAAGCTGTGCAAAAAGCCTGGGCATTAAAGATTTCTAAAACATGCATGAAAGAATCCTCGCAGGTATGTTTTTGATGAGAGAATGACATCATAACATGATGTAAAGCTCCAAAAAGTCAATTTTACATAATACTGGAAAATCTGGAACCTGTTTCATGAATACATGGGCATTGTCAGTTCAATCCAAGAAAACCTGTTTGTGAAAATAGCCCATATGTTAACTGCGCTCCCAGAGATATTAACAATTTAGAAACACACGAAACAGTAGATGACATGCAGCGATGGAATTGACAACCAGCAGCTGAGTTTAATGGCCTTCACACAAAACACTGCGTGATGTCGGTGACAGATTGCAAATGCTAAAGATGCTTCATTTGATCCCTGTTCCTTAGCAATAAAAGTCAATACATTAACAGCGCGCTTCTGACTTTCCTCTATTGTTCTCTCTGCATTGGCCTTATCTTGTCTCACTCCACACTTTTTCCTCCTATCAGGCAAACATATGTGCACACAGGTGGTCTGGTCACTGCATCAATAAAATCAAAGACAAAACGAAATGTTAAAAACAGAGAATGGAAGAGTGAGGTTGGATGTTGTGTCACAGCAGAGGCTCAGATGTTGCCATGGAGCTACAGAAGAGCACTAATGTGGGTTTCGTTATTCAGTTCACTTTTAGCTTTCTGTTTTTCTTATTTCATTTGTGGTGTATTTTTATAACTAAGGCTTTGTGTTGTTTGTGTTCTTGTCTGTTTTATTCTTTTCCCACAAACTAACAAAAACTCAAGCAGTCTTAGAACATCAACAAAACAAAACTCATGTTTACATGATGTGTGTACAGTTTGCAGACATATTTATTTCTTTGCAATTTGAAATTGCTTTTCTTGGATTTACACAGCCATATGTAAATATTTATTGCCTGTGTTCATTGGCTTCTTTTTTTTATTGTCATATTTTAACGACAATAAAGAAAAAGAAGGAGGTAATAAAGTAGGCAGTTTTTATATTATTTTTTATTTAAGAAAGGGATGAGAGCTATATATTGAAATACACGCCCAATGTGAAACATTAATTGCTTCTGTTGTTAAATCATGAATTAACTGTGATTAACCAAATATTTAGAGGTTAACATCATTAGTCACCCTGGGCCACATTAACTCCAAACTTTTAAGCTCACTTAAATCAAATCTGTTTGGCAGATCTAAAAAAGAAATACATTATGCCTAGGTTAAAATACATTTCATGAAACTACCAAAATTACTCACAACAGTTTATCTACAAGTGACCCATGAGATTACAACAAACCCCACAGCTTTAAAAGCACTGCAGGCCTGAGCAAAGTTCAGTGTTCAGCTTCAACAGAAGGAAAGAGTTGAGCTGGTTTCTTCTGGTTTCTCCAGCTTCCTCACACAGTCCAAAAACTTAACTAATAGGTTAATTTGTTACTATAAAATGCCATAAGTGCTGAATGTGTGTGTGTGTGTGTGTGTGTGCATGGGTGTCTTTCCAGTCTATCTGCATGTTGTCCTGTGATGAGCTGGCAACCTGCCCAGAGTGTAAACCGTCAATGACCGTTAAAGATGGACACCATCCCCCTACGGCCCTGCAAATCTAAGCTGGCATAGACAATAAGTGAATGCATCTTTTTTCCAATGCAAAGACTTTTTATGATCTGAAACATTTAAATTAGACACAAAATATGTAAGGAGGAAAATACTTTTCAACAGCACCGCACATATAGAGGATAGCTGGGTGGTTCCTGTTTGACCGAGCCCATTTCAGCCTGCACACAAACACGAACCCCAGCAGTCTCTAGAGTGCGTTGGACAAAATCTAAAGTCAAGCATGAATACAGAGGATGACAGGCCAATTATCAGATGCACTCTCTGTTGTGCATCTTCTCCTCTAACAGGAAGCAGATGTGAGAATGCTGTCACTTTCACTAAAGTTGCTGCAGTGACAGGGACCCGACAACAAAAGGCGCAGCTTTCACGAGAAATTGAGATGGACAGAGTCATAAACTCAGTATTGTCACAGAGTTTTATCTTGTAGGTTGTCACTTTTTGAGCTTTGGAGGATCCAAAAGTGTAAAAGTGTGAGGATATTTTTCAGGAACTTTGACTTTTTAACTTTGGGGTTTAAATGTCTGACATTAATTTCACAACTTCTCCATTTTAACAGGAAAGGACTGAATGAGTCCTAACAAAGAGCTTGTGTTTGCTTTGCAGGTGAACGTAGTGCCAGCTTGTGTCAGAGCCTTGACCCAGATGCTCTACTGTCCGTACTGCCGCGGCATGCCTGGGCTGAAGCCCTGTCGCAATTACTGCTACAACGTTATGAGGGGCTGTCTCGCAAACCAGGCGGATCTGGACGCTGAATGGAACCTGTTCATCGGTAAGATTCAAATTAATTGCACTTCTGCCCGTTTCTTCCTTTTCCAGTTGTCTGTTTCTTTGTTAATTTAAGCTTTTATTTCAACGTGTGCATATTTATGTCCGCGTTCTGTAGTCAAGGAGTGAATCGGGAGGATGTGCTCTGTTCAATTTAGCTTTAGAGGATTTGCAGAGACAAAACTGAAATCTTATTTGTGCAAACATTTCCTTTTTCTTTTTTTTTTTCTGTCTGAAATGTTGTTTGCTATTGCTGGAACCCTGGCATGGTGTTTAAAGCTTTGGTCCCTGCTGCTCGGGATTGATAAAGGAGAGCAGATCCTAGGCAAACACATTTTCTATAGCATTTCCAGCTGAGCTTGGTGAGTAATATAGCACTTCACTTTAGCTGTAAGTAGCTGGCTGCAGTAAGCTCTCCCGTTAAATGGATACCAGGGATGCACATAGAGTGCTCCCTCTGGATCCTTTGTAGACCAGTGCTTTATTTGTTATGTACCCCAATCTCATCCTCCCACCCACACTGACGCTTTTTTTTTTTTTTTTTTTTTTTTTTAAAGGGGCGGCGTTTTTTTAAGACACATCCCCGAAGACTGTGTCAAGTGAAGTGCACTTCTAAGCTGTTGGCTGTTTTGTGACAGGGCCTGTCATTTGAAAAGTCATCAGATGACTTACCGTTTGTTCTCCTCGATGGCAAATCTGAAGTCTCAGATCAACACGGGTCCTTGTGCACTGAATGAGATGTCTCACAGCTTTATGACATGTGTTAAAAAGTTTCTGTCTTGTTTGGTGTTGAAGAAGCAAATCAACTGCAGCAAAGGGAGAATGCGCCTGACAGTAATGGAAAAGCTGTTGTTGCAATTGACTGAAGAAAAAGAAAAAAAAAAAAATGGTGTTGCTGGTGTTGCCATTATACAGAATTAGAATTAGCTTTATTCACCAAATTTCTTCACCAAAACAAGGAATTTGACTTGAATTCTGCTCTCACTAAAGACATTTGAAATATAAATTAGAGAAAAATATGTTTTTATTTTGAATATTTTCATAGCGTGCTTTTGCCATTTAAGCTGTCAAAAGGATCACTTTAAAAAAAAAAAAACTTATTTTTACCAATAAGAACTAGAATTTGGTGTCAGTTGACATTTTTTATTCATTATCAGTTGCTGGAGAAATTTGATTTGCTTACAGCTTGGCTCAAAAGGATTATTGATTTCCCTTTTAACCAACAACCTCCAAACGCATCACAGGTCAGTTCTCCTCACTGAAGCACATCTTTGCATTATAGAAATTTATGGATTGAACTTGTACACTGTCTGTCATTGTCATCTCATAAATCATCAAATATTGGAAAATATTTCTTAGGGTTCTAAGCTGATAATTGCCTTATGAGCCCCTGTTATCATTTACCAAAGGACTTTGCTTGTGGTTATATGTCAATATTAATAACGGTAAACCTGAGAATTATTATTTTTTTTCATTGGCTGAAAGTCAATATGAGATACGCAATGTATATTAATCTCTTTAAATCCAGCTAAAGTAATGGTGACTCCTCCATCTATAGCTTTAAAAGTTTAAACCAAACTGTTTTTCTACACAACATATTAAAGATACATGATACTATAACGTCAAAATATTATTTATCAATCTAGTAATTAATAAATTCCTTTTATTGTTAATTATAATTTAAGAAATTCCACTTTATCATTGCTATTGTATGTTTGTGTTTTAGTGTAGATTTTGACCGTAAAGCATAAGGAACATTAATTTTGTCAGGATTTGTAATTTCAACAAATCGAAGGTCTTTCTTTGCACCTAATTCTGAACAGTAGCTATATAAACTGAACTTGAAGTGCAGCTTGACACTGTCACATCAAAATGACTGACACAAATCTTCCAGGTACCCAGAGACACCTGAAAGTTTCACAGCAGACATACAATTTAGAGTAAAAAATGTCATAGTCTGCCTTGTATGTTTGCCCAAACTGTGAGCTCTATGATTTTATTTTGTTGTTGTCTATTTTTTTCCAATTCAATTACATTTTTTTTTTTCATACTCAGATGTTTTTATTGAGAGCTCCATGTTTTGCACTTTAAATCTGAAAATATTTGCCCATTGTTTAGTGTAATATATTACATTTTGTCAGTTCAATGGAAAAAAAAAATACACATTTATGAGATTATGTTTTGTAAAGTTATGCAAATTATCTGATGGGTATTTAACAGTTTTTATAATAAACAAGAAAAACGGGTCAATATTTTGCTCCTTCAGAGTTTCTCTACACCCTTCTCTACATGGGCTAAATAAACTTTAGAAAGCTGTAATGCTTTCTAAAGTTCTAACAATGTTCTAACAAGACTTTATAAAACACTTTGGGTTTTGTCCTTTATTTCTAAAAAAATTGTCTGACTTGTCTATAAAACGTAAGCACCACTCTTAACATGTTTTTTCTCTGTAGTTCAAATTAATTAGACATGAGCAAAGCTTGCAAAACTTATTTGAAGAGCTGTTCTACTTTATAAACGAAACTATTTGCTTTGAACATTGTAATAATTGGTGATATAGCAATATGCTGTGTTTTACTCACATCTGCCCCACTGGAATCAACAAGCACTAAGAAAAGTTTGGACTCGGGACAGACTGATTTGCCTTTCAGTCTGTGCACTAATCCATATCTGAACATTGACAATTGCTGCTCTAGACACAACCATCTAAAAAGTGAATAATAAATGTAGAGAGGAAGCTAATGTTGAAATAAATATGCATTAAGTATGCTGGCATGTGACAGAACCAAAATCCTTTTGTTGACCAATGCTACATCAGTTCTACTGCCACTGAAATCTTAAAACATAAATCCAATGGAAGGGACAAAAGTGAGCTGTGCACAAAACTGACAGAGAACAGGCTGCTATAACGGGATATCAGCTGAATCTGACAGAGAATGCAGAAAACAGTGAAGTCAATTTATACCAAGAGAGGGGATTTGGCAGACGGATGCAGGTGAGAGCAGAAGGTGATGTGACAATCTAGAGTCGAGATGTGGATAACTAAAGATTTCCACGCTTTGTTTAAGGTTTCTGGATGTGAAGATAGATTTTGCTATTGTTGATCTTGGTTGTTAGTAACAAACATTATTATCTTGTTGGAAATATACTTAAATGTCAGAGTTGCATCTTTGCTGATGAAAACTAGGAAAATGACTTATGCTGCTGGCTGATATGCACATTTATTTATTTATTTATTTATTTATTTATTTATTGTTACTCAGAATGAAGAACACAATGATTAGGAAGACAAACTTGTCAACCTTATCTCAATGTTATACTTAACAATTTAGCTAATATATATCGAACTATATAGAAATTGAGGTTTCTTCTCTTGAGTTTAATTGTCTATTTATAGCCATGGTGATCAAGAGAGACCAATATCATTATTAGTCGTTTAGCTTAGAAAACCAAAAGGTTGAAGGGATAAATATTACATCGTCCCTGTTTCTGTTTTTCTTCAGTATTACTGTTTTCAGTTGCTTATGTTTAAAATTAGCGAATGAAGAATTAGAAAATGTTGTGATTAAAGCTTGAAAATCATTTTGTGTATGTAATTCAACAGTATTTGTTGGTATTTGTTTGCCACGATGCACTGAGATAAATGCAGAATTAGTAGACACAACAGGGGCATTGCTGCTGCAACTACTACGTCTGCTGTTTGTCCATAGCTATTTACATTTACATCCACTGAAAGAGAAAGACATCGTATAATAAAATACAGTGTAGAACATACAGCAGCTACAGAGACTCAGCTGTGTGAAGCACATTTTATTTCTTGCTATAAACAATGGCAAGCATGTAAACTGGAATGTTGGAAATTTGTTTAAATCAGTGCAGGGGTTGGCGTAGGACAATGTTGACCCAGCTTCTGTTTGCTTTATTTTTTCATATAGTTATATAGCATATTCAAATGTTTGTTGCCAATGAGTGCCCTAGTCAGTTTAACTCTGTCAATGTAATTTATCCTAATCAAATCAAACGCCCTTATAGTTAGTGCTACATTATACTGATTTGCCACAGTAAAACACTCCCTTGATTGTGTTACAAATCTACGAGCGTAGATCTCCATAGCTGCATAATTTAATTATATTCTTCTATGCTATTTTAAAAATAATCATACAAAATACAGTTCCTTTGGCAGAATCAACACTGATTACATTAAGCTTGTGGGCTGCAATCTAATGCTTATTTATTTGCCCACACATAATAATGTTTGGTCTAAAAACAAAGATTTAATTACATTTGTGCAACAGTAGTATTTTGAACTCCTGGCAAGAGAGGAATACATGATGAACTATAGATACTAATGTATCAATCACAGGCATAACATTGTATATCTAGTTTTATTTGTGAATGTCTTTGCTGAACAGTGCACCATCAGTGTTCAATAACAAAAAGAAGAGTTGGACCAAACCCCTGTTTTCACACCTCTCGCCTTTGTAAAATAACTGAAACTGTAGTCGTTAATGCTATTAACCTTTTATGTCTGCTCCCTATTAACTTGAAATGCAGGCTGTAAGTACTGTAAAGGGGACAGGAAAAAAACAACAAATTCTTCTTTGAAACTAACAAAATGTAACAAGCTGACTTACTAATGCCTTACTTTGAATTAAATTGCTGCATAATGATTGGCAGTGGCACTCTGAGTAACACAAGGTAAGCCTTTTTCAGAGGAATTAGGAAGGCGCTTGTCTGGGCTAATGCTGCCTGCCTCAGTTAAAAGTCATTTATATGGGCCGACACAAACAGCCAATCCGAGTATGCAAAACATACCTATAGAAAGTAAAAGCGATGTACATGTCTTACTTTTTACATTATGAAAATAATCCATTAATATATTTTCAAGCCTGCATCAATATAAACATTTACAATATGATTTGCTTTTACATTTGCACAGGTGAAATGATTCATATGTATGAAAATCCTTCAAAGTTGTTTTTTTTTTCTCCATGTGAGACATCA